TCTAAACAGAGTGGTGTCTCCTTATCTGTTCTCCTTTGATCTCTTGTAAGATTCAGTGTCATGTGAGTCACACCCCAAGAAGATGCCCCTGCCATGGGGTCAGGGCTGTGACCTGAGCAAGGCAGTCAGCCCCCCACCCCCGCCCCAAATTCCCAGACACCGATCAGGGCTGATCGCATCATTCCGGAGCCGCCACATGATGTCACTGCTTGACCGCCAGCGCTTGGAGCAAACACAGGTCCCTCCATGACACTCAAGGCCCACCAAGCACTGTGAGTGGCTGGCAGGAGCGGAACTAGATCAGGAAGCATCTCCCCCAGGGCCGTGGCCTGCACTTGGACCTGCGGCATCCTGAACTCTGACAAAATACATTTCTGTCCCCTGAAGGTCACCCAACTGTGGCCTTCCTGTGTGGTGACACTGGATAATGATGACAAGCCCTGGCCTCTAACTTAGCTGTAGAAGGAGCATGGATTGGGGGCCACCTGCGTACCAGGTGCTGGCCTCACTGTGATGTCCGTTCTATGGGCATCCGCCCCACTATTAGGCTCCAACTCAGAGGCTGGCATTTGGCAACCTCTCCGTAGAGTTTATTTAGCTTCTCATGGGCTGATGCAGCATTTCAGATTCAGGAGATTTCCCATAAAGATCTAGGCTTCTGGCTTCTCTTGAAAACCCAGCAGGCTGGCAGGCCCTGGGCCCCTACCCTCCCTGGCGGCACTCCTTCATCTCCAGCACCATCACGCGCCTCGCAGCTGGTCACGGCTCCCACCGCCCCACACTGCCGGCTTCCCTCACAGAGTTCTGAGGGTCTGAGCGCTGTGGAGACTGGAGTTTGTACCTCTGGTTCTTGGAGTCGTGGTGGCACTGTGGTTACACACTGGCTGCGCCTCTGGAAGGGGCTCCTTTGGGCCCAGTGGACCCTGACCTGGGGACCCACACGGAGCTGGCCACGCCTAGGCCTCCAGCACTGGACCGTCTCATCTTAGAGAAACCTTTTCCTGCTAACCCCGGTTTCCTCCCAAGCTAAGCAACTCCCTAACCCCTGGGAAGGGGATACAGGAGGGTCAAGTTCATGCTCAGCTAGTCAGCGTCTCTCACAGCCCCACCCTAGCCAGGGTCTCCTGCCCCCAGCCAGGAACAAAGCCAGCCTGAAGGTCCAACTTCAAGTCAGCCCGTCTGCCTGTGTGCCCGCCCACACACTCGCTCCGTGGCAAGTCTCCTGCGTGTCCCTCCCATGTCTCATGCTCACACCCACAGCCGTTCACCATGTCGAGAGGACCCGGCAGGACATGGCCGACTGCTGGCACTGCACGTTCACTGGGCACCCGTGGAGACGCTGGGAGTAGGGGCTTGTGGGCACTCCCCCAGGTGTTGACCCTGCCTCCATGTGTTTGTTCACCAGGTAGCCTGCGGCAAAGGGGTGGAGGGCCCTGCCTGCGCTAGTCACTTCCAGATTCCGGCTCATATTCCATCCCCCCCCCCCCCACACTTATCCCTTCTCTCGCTGGGTGACTCCTCTGCACGCTGAGCCCCCGCCACCACCCTGTCCACTTTCAAGTCAGCCCAGGAGCCTCTCTTCTGCCGCAGCTGACCGTCCACCATGCCCGCTCATGAAAGCGCAGAGAACAGCCCTGCTGCCCGGCTCTCCACCTCCCTACCCTTGGGGCTTTGGTCGAAGCCCCTGCCTCCAGGTGCAGCTCTCTCACCTGGGCTCTGGCCCCCCTGTCGCCATGGCAGGCCCCGAGCATTCTAAATGCAGCACGACCACGTCGTACCTCTCCCTGCGGCGGCACATCAGGTCACCCTTGCTGTGACCCCACAATCCTCCCTGTCCCCTGGATAGGCAGCGTCTGCCCACGCCTGCCACCATGTGCTGCTACAGGGTGTCTGTCCACACTACTTTCTGCCCGCCTTTTGCTCCCTAGAGAACTCCTACTCATTCCTCAAGATCCAACTCAACTGACCTCTCCCCTAAAACACCTCCGTAGCACACAGAAGCCCAGCTAGTCCTTCCTCCCCAAGGGGACCCTGTCCCAGGACTCAGGCACCACAGTCACATAAACAAGCAGCCCTGAGGACACCTGGGGCACTTCTAGATGGAGGCCCTATGCTACCCTCCTTGATCCCCATCCCCACCCCACCCCGGGTGCCTTGCTGGGAGCTGGCATGTACAAAACCCTCTGTAACATCTGGCAGAGAATCAGGGAAGAAGCAAGGGCCTTCAGGGAAGTTCTGTCCCAGCCCCACCATGGGCATTCGTCAGCAACAACCTTCCTTCCCAGAACCCCGGCACCACGTTGGCATGGCCAAGTCTGGCTGCCAGTCACAGAATCGCCGGCTCTTGAGCCATTTCCTTTTTGGGTCTCACTGGTTCCTGCAGCCCAGACACCAGCAGCCCTTCTGTTCTGTTTTTCAACAAGTCCCTGGCAGGTGGCTCCTTTCCAGCCTCTGTGAGCCCACGGTGCCTGAAGCCCACACTGTCCCTGACAGGGTGTCTGGCAAGCTCCCACCAGAGCAGTGGGCTTCCCCCAAGCCAGGGCTCCAGGACAAGGGGTTGAAGGGGCCTATGGGGCATGGGGCTACCCAAAATGCTACCCAGGCTGCCAGCAGGGGAGGCAGACAGAAGTGGCTGCTCTAGAAGCCGCAGCTGCTCCCACCCAGGCCCATGGCTCTGGCTGCGTGAGGTGCTCCCTGCTCCGGCCAGTCCTGCTACTTCCTCCCTACAAGCTGCTGGCACACCTAGCCGGGAGCTCTCCGAGCCTATGAGAGAAGACATAGGGTCACAAGAAAGGTGTCCCAGGAAGACCACTGGTCAGGGCTGGGCAGCAAGCCCTGCAGATGCAGACATGCTACTGAGGGACTAGGCTGGTCCCTGGACCCCCATGGCTGAGGAGGGCCAGGCCAGCGGCTCCGGTACTGGACGATCCAACACTTGCACCTGCCTGTTCTTTCACGGGAGTGGGTGTCAAAGCCGCCGCGAGCAGCAGGCCTTGTCTGTAAAGCGGGCGTCTTTTGAGGACCTAGAGCGGATGGCCTGAGCACTGACTGTTGGCCTCAGAGACTGCGGCGCCCTGTCTGAGCGGCGCCTGAAGAGCAAGGCCGGGCTCACCGAGCAGATGCCGAGAAGAAGGAAGGGGCAGCAGGGCCATTGCAGGGCTGGCCGGGCCAGGATCTACCCCACACACCGGAAGTCGGGTTTCAGAAGGCAGCACGGGCCACCTGGGAGACTCATCACGACCCTAGAGGGCAGGGCAGAACAGCCCCTGTGCGTGTCTGAGTCTGAAACTCCTCACGGGAGTAGAAGGCCTCCTCCTGCTCCCATAACCAACCATGGGACGCTTTTCAAAAAAATAAGGTGTTTCCTCTGAAACATCGCACAAACAACAGCTTAGGATAGTCGTGTGTGTGTGTGTGTGTGTGTGTGTGTGTGTGTGACTTAGCCTCCAACAATGTCACCGGATGGGCGCCCACTCGCCACACGTTGCTCGGGCCCCACTGGCTAGTCACCAGCTTTGGGAGTGATGGAGAGATGGGAGGCGAAGATCTGTTCCCAGCAGAGAGGAGGCAGAGTCTGAGCTGCAGCTTGAGAGGATGCACAAGTCCACCTGCCCAGTGCCCCAGTTGTGCTAAACTCCCCAGTCCCGCGTCTCAGATCCCCAGAACACCACTGTGTGCTGGGGCCGATCCGGCAGCTAATTCTCAGAGCACCCCACGAGGGCCTGTGGGTTACTCGATCACCAGACAGCACTCGGGCTAACACGTTCATTACGTGAAACTTGAAAACGCAAAACGCAAATTGGCCCTGATCTCTTAACCCAGGGGAGAAAAAAACCCAAAAAACCAACCCAAAATAATGACCAGTGGTGATGTTTGCTCAGCACTAATGGAGTCCGATCAAAACCACAGAACCATCCACTCAGACAGGCTTACAATGGCATGCTCACGTCCCTGCAGCTCAACGGGAGTCTTTAGGGCGTTGACGAAAACAGCTTTGTGAGTATGAGATCAAACGATAAACCACAGATGGCGTTTTCCACGGATGCGTCCCAGCCCCTCCCTGAACCTCTCCTGAGGATTGCGTGGTACCCACAGAGGTGATTCAGCCCACCGTCACAGATGGGGTGGTGGTGGTGGTGGGGTGTTGTGGGGGCTTCACTGGTATCCGATGCCCTGGTGGCAACTGCTCATTCTGCCTTTGAGTGATGCCACCTCCACGCACATACCCCCCTCCCGCCCCCCATCCCACCAGAAGGGCAGTTTCTCCAGCATGGCCAGAGGAGCAGGGACCCAAGTCTTTGTCAGGAAATTATCGGCTTGTGCCCCAGAACTTACAGGCAGCCCCCCAGCAACTGGAGCTGTGTTTCCAAACATTTCTGTACACGCCCACTTTTCCAGAGGGCCAGCGGATCCAGGAGAGACACCTGCAATGGCAGAGCCAGGCTGGCCCCGCTCAGGCCCTGAACTAGCCTGCAGGGCAGTCTTCCTTTCTAGGGCGCCTGCAGAAGGCCTTGCTTGTTCCAGCCTGGGCCATCCGGCTCGGCACAGTCCTCCCCCGACCTCCCCTCAGACCCCCAAATCAAGAACACCCCTGTGTGGTTGAACAGCGACATACCAGTGGAGGAAACCCATTTGATAGTGCTAAAAGATACAAAAGTTGAGTGACTGATACACTACGAGCCAACTGGCCCACCCAGCAACATTGCTCTTTATTTCAAAAGGACCCCACCGCATCTCTCTCTGCTGGTAGGGTACCGCACCGAGGGGGAAGTGGGAGCATGTCCCAGGTGGGAGCGATACATCGTCCTGCCCTGCTGCCTCTGGCCAGCAAAGCCGCTGGGGTGGCCCGGGCAGCAGGACTGGGAGGGGGAAAGCGGAGGGCCAGTGTGTGGACAGGCGGTTTGCAACAGAGGCATGTTCAATCAGAGCTGTTTTGCTGAAGGGGGCAGACAGAGCTGAGCCCTCCACGTGTGCCCAGGGTGGGGGGTGCTTGTACTCACCCGTCTCCTCTGCCGACTCTCAGTCCACGTTCCCGACAGACAGATGGATGGACGTGGGGGCCTGAGGACAAAGGTGAGACAGGCAGTCAGTGGGGTATTTCTCGCGTGGCAGCCTGTTCAGAGGTGTGCTCTGCTGAGACAGTGTTCAAACTGCCACACCAAATCTGGGGCTTGGCACAAAAATATGACTTCCTGAGGCCCCGTGGCCCACCCATGCCCCTGAGCCATGTCCAGCAGCATACGGCTGTCCCCATGTAGTCCACAGGTCCTCAGGCCCCATTTCTCGGGCCCCAGGCCCCCCCAGGCCCTGGGTTTGCAGGACTTGCTGTGGACTCCGTGTCCAAGGTCTGCCAAGCCCCACGTGCCCCCTCTCAGGAGACATGACTTCCCCAGGACCGGCTGAGCTGCCGGCCCTCCCTTCCAGCCGCTGTTCTCGAGACAGAAACTGAAAATTCTGGCAAGAAAGCCAGGCCTGGTCCTTACAGTAATCTAGTGAGAAGATCAAGTTAGACTCTTGACAACATTTAGGTCAGGGGTCCTGCTGCCCCTCCCTTGCAGTCCTGGGGGGCTGGAATCAGCCAGGTCAGGACACTATGCAGTTCGAGGGGTTAACATGAGAAGGAACATGGTAAGGAGCAAGCAGAAGTGGGGATGCTTATATTAGCCCCCCACCCCCACCCCACACACACCTGGTCCTGAGGAGGGTGGAGGGGGCTCTGAGAGTATTGTCATCTCTGGTCAAGGGATGCAGCCAGACTAGGGTGGCCCCGGCCCTGAGGGACGGCCTCAGGAGAGCCCAGTCCTGGGAACGGACAGCATGCTTTGCAGAGTAGAGCTCTAATATGACCACAGTTGTGGGGTAGGGACAGGGCCGGCCAGTGCTGGCTCTGTTCTACGAGGTTCGCTGTGACGCGGAGCCAGCAGGGTGGCCCCTGACAACCATAGGAACTCGGTGCCAATCCTGCCAGTGCCTTCCAGTTCCACTCATGAACCTGGGCCTGGGCCCCTCCCCAGCCCTGGAGCCCAGCCCGGGCCTGACTTCCCTTGCCCCTGGACGGCTACCTTCACAGTGCAGGTCAGCTGCTCTCTGTGACAGCCAGGCCCGCCCTTTCCCAGGAAAGCAGCCCCGTCCGGAGTTCACGGAGCTCCAGTGCTGGCACAGGGCGCCCACAGAGTCACGAGGCCGAGTCGGTGCCAGACATGGGAACACAAAGTGGGCCAGCCGGCCAGTTCCCCAGGTCGCTTCTGGGAAGGACTCAGGGTGGTGGCAGCATGGGCAGGGTTTCAGGGAACCCCGAGCCAGAGTGGCAGGGGGGAGCATCTGCTCTTGCTTCTTACAGATGGGGAAACTGAGGCAGCAAGTGGCAGAACAAGGTTCCCTCTGGCCCGCTGATGGAGGCTTACTGGCCACATCCAGGCCAAGACAGCGGCGCAGGGCTGTTTGCTCCAGGATAGCCAGGCACCAGCGTTTGCATACCCGCACACCCTAAAGAGCCCCGGAAGTGTCTTTTGGGGAAGCAGCAGGCTCACTCGTGAACCCTCAGCTGGAATACCCCTTGCCCCAACTCTCTGAGGTGGGGACCTATCATTCCCACTTTGTGGATGAGGAAGGTTTGTCCCAGGGAAGTTACTCGGGATGTCCTGGCAGGGAGCTGTGGGGTGGGGTGGCAGCTGCAGCCATAGGACAGAACAAGGGCTCTGCTGGGGTGGCCCTGGGTTGAGGGGCTCACCCTCACCCCCCAGTACGTTTGGAGATCAACTTTTTAAATGAAAAGTTTCAGATTTAGGGTAAAATTACAAAGATTGTTTAGAACGCTCCCAACACCTACATCCAATCTCCTCTATGAATGTAGTCTTACATTAAAAAGTGCATTTGTCACAATTAATGAACCATGCCGACACCTTAGTAACTGCAGTCATAGCTTATTCACATTCCTGCAGGCTTCTTTCCATTTTAAAAACTTCTCCTTTTGATGTGAGTGAAAGTTTACAGAGAAGATCTGTGTTGTGATGTTAATTACAGTCCCCACCAGCAAACAGCACTCCTCCCACTTCCTCCCTGTGCTTCCTGAATCTGTCCTCCTTCCTCCACTTCCTCCCTCTGCTTCCTGTATCTGTCTTCCGTCCTCTCTAAGGATCATCATCTTGGGGGTTCCACCACTCTCTGCCAGACCAGAAACCCTGGTCTTTTTTGGGGGGTGGTGGTGGATACAATATATTAATATATACTACTTTTACAATTGTGATATTTTATCAGGTGTAAAAGCATTTGCACAACCCATATACCCGACTTCAGATTTATTGTCCCAAATGTAAAATGCTTTCCATATAAAAGTGACAAGCTGCTTTTAAGGACAATAACTCTGTAGGTGCATCTGCTCAGGAAGTAACGAATGTGTACAGGGTAGGAAGCGCCCTGCGCTTTGGCAGCTACCAGGCCAAGACACTGAGGCCACAGCATCTGGTAACTCTCCCTTAGGAAGCTAAGTGCCACCCAAGCTGGTGTTTTCTATTTTTAAATCAGAGGCAGTTTATTTTTCCAGCTTAGCATCTGTGTATCTCTTACATAGCAAAACCCACTTTAACTTAGCAGCCATTTGCAAGTTGTCCCTCTCCTATTTCTTCCACTCTCTGGCAATTGTTTATAATGACTATTACTGGTAATACTCAATTTATTTAGGCTGATCAAAAACATACACTTTTGAAAGCTGGTCTTTTACATAAATCTGTTTTATAAATTTGCACCATGAAAACTAGTGCCAAGACCTTATAAAACATGCGTGATTTTTTACCACTTGACTTTCCCAACCTGGGTCTTTTGTTTGGTTGTGAATCCTGCTCTACCTCTTCTCCCACTCTCTCCCGGGCCTCCTATGGCCATCCTGATCAGAGCAGCCGGCAGTGGAGCCGGCACCACCTGGCTCTTCTCCTCTCAGGCTCAGCTCATTCATGCCTCTTTCTGCTCCAGGACCCGCCCAGCGATCGACACACTTGTCACCTCCCTGCAGGCTCCGTGGCTGTGAGTTTCTCAGGCTTTGCTGGTTTGGGATAATTGTGATTTTTCCAGGCCACCACTGTCAGGTATTTTGCAGAACTGTCCCTCAGTGAGGATTTGTCTGTTTGTTTCTTTCTTTCTCATAATCAGACTGATGTTACGGGTTTGGGGCTATTAGTTGTCAGCCAATGTTCCACGCTGTGGTGGCTTACCTGCTGCTGTCATGCTAGTAGTGATGCCACCTGTATTTAAAACAGCAGCAGGGTCACCCTTGATGTGAAAATTTCAGCAGAGCTTCCAGACTTAGATTAGGAAGAACCCGTGCCCCCCCTCCCCACCCCCCGACAATCTACCTGCCCAAAGTAGCCAGTGAGAACCCTGTGGGTCACACTGGACATTAGCCCCCTCACCGGCTGGCTTTGGTCACGTCATTGAGAGGGCACAGGCGCAGGGGGAGGGTGTCATGTCTGGGGCAGCAGAGGGGCCAGAGAGGGACGGGACCCTCCGTGAGGTGGACTGGCATGACAGCCACAACAATGAGGGGGGCACAAGACGGGGGAGCACGTGGGTTTGGCAAGGAAGGGCAGAGAGGCAGAATGCCTTTCGTGCCGCCACATGCCAGCCCCATAGTTGTTAACTTGGGAAGCACGAGCCAGGCGGCTGTCCAGCACTTCCTGACCGTGTGCTCCTGGAGCTCCTGTTCGGACCTCTGTGGGCCTCTCCCAGGTGTCCCCACCCATGTAAGGCATCTGGCTCAGACCAGGATATCTGTCACGTCCAGGTCTTCTTGGTGAGGTCCAATGAGGCCTCCTCAGGCTCAGCTGGGGTCCACCTGACCCCAGGCCCAGACCCTGAGCTTCTGTGGATAGTCAGATGTCCCTGGCTCTGGACAGCCAACCTCCCACCCCAGGAGCTCCCTGGCCTCCTCCCGCAGAGACCGACCACTGGGGTGGGACCGATGAGCAATCTGTCTGCACTGGTGATGTTTTCATCCTGGATGAAAGGAGACCCCAGCCCGAGCCCACGGTAGAGCTGTGAGGAAGCTGGATCTGGGGGTCAGCACTGTTAGTGTCTACACATGCTGACAACAGCAGGGACTCTCAACAGAAAGAGGGGGTGCAACCGGAGGGAAAAGCCCCAGGCATCCAGCGCAGAAGGTTCTGGACTGACCTGAAGCAGAATGAGGCGGGGACCCCAGAAGGCCGGGGGCAAGTCTGACTGCAGTGGTCAGGGTGTGGGAGCTGGGGGCCAGCCCGGCTGCCAGTCTCAGATTCTTGCCCTTCTGACTTGCAGGTTTGGGTGACCGAACCTCTCACCCTGGATCATCTTACAGTCACTTAGCTGAGACAGGGCTAAGCTCAGAGTATGATCTGAGGTGGTGGTGGGGGCACCCTGGCCTTGGGGAGACAGGGCAGGAGTAGAGCCCGGGTCAGCCACTGCCCAGGAAGAGCAGGGTGCCTGTGGGGTTATCAGCACTTCAATGGAGGTCTGAGCTTAAATCCCAGCTCTGCGATTCACTGGCCTGGGTCCTTGAGCAAGTCCCACCAACCTCCTAAGCCTCAGTTTTCCACGCTATAAAATGGACATGGAGAATGAACTGCCCAAGGAGCAGACAGCTCTCTCGGAAGGAGTATGCCAGAGTGCTTCTCAGAGGCCAGGACGGCGAGACTCGGTCTCGCATACCTCGGACATGTTATCAGGAGAGATCAGCCCTGAGGAACACCTTGCTGGATCAAGTAGCGGGGCAGTGCAAAGGAGGAAGCCATCAAAGAGACGGGTTTGCACCGTGACCACAACACAGCAGGCGTGAGGAAGGCCGGCGTCGCGCACAGGGCTTTGATGTGCTGGGGCCGGTTCCGGGCACCTAACCACCACCACAAGGACTACGAAACAGCAGCTGCTAAGGTCAAGGGTGAAGGGAAAAGCAGACGATGTTTGGGACACAGCACGGTGCCTGACACTTGCGAATCCCCCTCCCCGAAATATCCCCATCCCAAGGAAGGCCAGACCACCAACTGTGCCCTCAAACTGCTGACACACCAGGGGTGTCCCACATGGGCGACGAGACAAC